TTTATTTATTGTGCACTTTTTACTAAGAAGTTTTATTATTTGTGTGCTTCCGTTATTTTTTTTTTCTTGTTCTTGTTCTTATTCTTCTTCTTCTTCTTTTTTCCTTTTCTTTTTTTTTTCTATTAACATTAAATTTGAATTTCTGTGAAAATTATCGTCTTGTGTCTGTTTAGTTGTCTGTTCTTCTATTCTCTGTTTCATATATGAAATTGTATAACATATACTTATTACTTTGTTCGAGCTAAAATTTTGACATTTTCATAACATGATGACACCAGCAACATAAGCAATGGCAATAACGAAGGCAATAGCGATAGCAATAGCAATAGCAACAGCAACAGCAACAGTAATAGCGACAGGAATAAGTGCACTTACACTTAGAAGCAATCATACGGAAGCAAAAAGTAAAACTAAAATTGATTGCATTCCTTCCCTTTCCCCCTCCCCGCCACCACTTGTAGAGAGGCAGACGGATAGACAGGCAAAATAGGCAAGCGGGCAAGCAGGCATTTCAATTTGCGTACGCATGCACTCAAACGTACAAACACTCTTTAAACTATAGTTTTAGTAAATGTTAACCCGCATCTGACATACACGCATTCATGTACATTAACTTGGCTTGTATATCTTTATATATGCAAACACATATACGCACACATATATATATATATATATATATATATATATATAGAAGGAATTACATGTTACGGGTGTTTTTGTTTTATACTTTTAGTTTCTTTTTGTTATAAAGTGCTGCTACTGGTGCTGTTTCTGTTGCTGTTGCTGTCGCTAGCGCTACAACTACTGCTGTTGACATTTCTCTGCCTCACTGCCTAACAAGGAGGTATATTAGTTTTATACATTCACATACAAGAGGATAGTAGAGCCTATATTACTACTTTCTTATCGATTGCGATTGCTCATGACTAACACACATGTATGTATGTATGTATGTATAACTCAGTTATTCACTCTTCACTTTTCTTTTATTTGCAATTCTGTTTGCACTAAGCATCGCGCTAAAAGTCAATGTATTGTGACCTTTTGTATTAAATTTATTTATTTATTTATTTATTTATTTTTTTTTTGCTTTTATTGTTGTTGTTGTTGTCATTTTTTGTTTATTTATCTATTTGTTCTTCATCGTTGCCAACAGCTTCAATAACAGATGATGCCAGTCAATATTTATGCAGATATAGATATCGAGCATAAATTCAATTTCATTTTCATTCATTGTACATATGCTCAGTTCTGTAAATCAAAGCCTAAAGTGTTGTCAATTCATTGTCATTCTTGTTCTATGAACTTTTGCGATCCTGTATTGATTTGATGAAATCGAAATTTTCAAATTTCCGAACGAAAGGAATTCCTTTAAACTTCACCTACATACCTACCTACCTACCTACCTACCTACCTACCTACGTACCTACCTACCATTTAGTCGTTAATGATAAATAAAAACTTTTGTTTATAGCTATACATTTATAGTTACTCGTTATCGTTACGATTTGAGGAAGTCCGTTACCCGGTATAAAGTTTTTACGGCGTTCCAACAGATACGGGGGGGAGGGTATATAAGATTCGTTATTACGTTGGTTACTTGCAAAAATGCTCAAAGGCCTTTAAAGTTGCCCATTGCCTATTTAATCTATTCAGCTTATTGGGAAATTTCACATAAACATGCACACACACACACACACACACACACAGGAACATGTTCTTTGGAGTTGCTGAAGGAATGTTTATTAGCAATAACTTGAAATCTATTTTAGTTAATTGATTTAAAATTTACTGCAAATAGCTAATAGGTGCCACTAAAGGTCGAAAGAAAACAAATGCGTCCAATCGATGACAAACTGTATGGGACGCTTGCAATGGACAGTGAAGAGGAAATTGTATTCGTCTTTAAATGAATTATTAATATCTACACAAATGATATTAAACTAATTCGTATGGAGTATAAAGTAGGTTTTTAATTGTGCGTGTGTCAGTCAGTCAGTCAGTCAGTCCATCGAAACTTTTTACTCTAAGAAAGGGTTGTATTAAGTTTTAACAGCAATAACTTTTATAGCTCGTGATTCTTTTTTTTTTTTTTTTTTGCACTCGCCCATTTACGCCCATCAATTGCTTCAGCCAAGGATTGATTTCGAATTTTTTATAACATATAGCGTATGATAATTGCATTGGCTTGTAAGTTACGAGATCTCCTATCAATTGTAGACTTAATTGCGGACAATTATCACAACTATTTCCGACGGACGAACGAACCGGACCGAATCGAACCGAATCGATTTAGATCTTATGCTAAACGATGATACAAGCACTTTATTAAAGCTTTTAATAGGACATTTTGTCTGTTTTGTGTGTTACTATCCTTTAATGATGGGTTTGGCGGGTGGGTAACCTTTCCATTTATTGAGATGATGAGTGCTCAAAATTCGTTCTAAGCCCATATATAACTTTCTTATTGTTTACTTTTTTCAGAAAATCAATTTTAAAAACTTTTCATAAAACTTGTAATAAATTCTTTCTTTCATCGAAAGCAAAGGCTTTACGCACGCAATAGGCATACATTGAGATATATATTAATATCGATAATTTTTAATATATGTTCTTCCTTAATCACATTTCAATGTGCTTATTATTTAAGCCAAAAATGTTTGTTTCTTTTTTCTTTGATAATAAAAAAAAAAAAAAAAAATTTCACTTTTTTGTTTGTCAGCAACAGACACTCGCGTCTGCGGAATATTTAATTTTGTTATTAAATGAAAAGAAAAAAAAAAAAATATATATATATATATATATATTATTGCGCTAAACTAACTTTAGCTTTGTTTTCCTTACACGCTATTGACTTTAAACTCTTTACTCAGTTACGATCTTAAGTAAACTGAACAACTTAGCCATGAACTTGATGTGTGTGGACAAACTCGTCTTTATTGATTTCAACAAAAGAGAAGAAGAGCAATTGCGCTCGCAAGCATTCTCTTAAAAAAAAAAAAAACATGAAAATAGGTCAAACGGTATAAAATGAGATCCATTGAATTAATTAAAAAAAAGAGTTGAGATTTCGTTTCTCATTTATCGTAATTAAGCTTCAGACGGCATTTTTTTTTTTACCGATTTCACCGATAATTTGCATAAACTCGAAATGAAAATTCGACGAATTTTAAATGCAAAGAACAACTCCTCCCACTTCTTTTGAGTTAACATTCTTAAGGCTATGTTCGATCTCCTGTAATGAGAGAATCACTTACAGCTCGGTCTCAGATTGATTCGGTCTAGCATCGACCGTAAAGATTTGCACGTATTTTCGTGCGTAGCGGAAATCGTTCGGAAATCATTTTAAACGGAACAAACCGCAAAATAGTAACAAATGTGTTATCACTTGATTGACCAGCGTCGAGATTACGTGGAATCTCTGCAGTCGTAAGACACTGTCTTCTTGTTCAAATTATTGCCAACGTTTACATATATCTTTCGACTTGTACAGTCATTTTAGCTGAGTTTGTAGCGTCTTCGTGCTTTTTTCATAAAAAGTCTAATCCGTTAAACATATTGATGGGTCTAAGATTTTGCTGTACATATGGGATGGGATCAGCAAAGTGTAGTGTATTACGAGCTGATCAAACCGAATCAGACTGTTACTGCAGATGTCTACCGGCGTCAATTGAACAAACTGAACGATGTATTGTTGCAAAAAAGACAAGCAACAGGGCTTAATAGATTCAAAGTGATCTCCCCCGCCCTTGCGAGGATGCCCTGTTCACAATTCGAATAACAGAAGTTCTGACCCACCCAATGTACTCATCGGCTATAGCGCCTTCTGATTACCACTTCGTGCAGATCTATGCAGCATGGCTTGGCTAGCACGCAGTTTCGAAATGTTGAAGAATGCGAAAATGAATCGGTCAAGAGATCGCTGCCAAAGCAGTATCGTTATGTTGCCAGAAAGACAGGAAAATTATGGAAAATGTTTCGTTTACTATATACATTGTATCAATTTTTCTCAATAAATGCCTTTTTCAACTGAAAAATTGATCAAAATACATGCAATCACCTAATACATGTATAAACATTACATATATAATGAAGGATGGATTTACTGCAAGTCTATCTGGGCGTTCTACACATACTCACGAACTTAGTATGCACTTGTAGCACAAGTGATGTGAAAAGCGGTCAGGACGACCAACTGCTTGGGGCAAATAACTAATTTTTTTTGTTTTCATCTCTTTTGTTTTTTCTTTTATCTTAATTTTGGAAAAGTGATTTTTGTGCGATTAGTGCTCACAATTGGTAATATTATGGCTCAAATAATTGCAGTATTTGCTGAAACGCTTTGTTATTTGACATTGGGGTATGCGCGTATTTGTCTAAAATCTTTTAAAAAAAAAAATTACATGTCTGGCATGTTTATGGGGATTGGTACATATGCACATTTGGTATGTGTTGGTCAAGAATCCAAGATATTGCAACCAAATTAGGGTTTTCTGATAACTTTTTTTGTTATCCCTGCGAACATATCAAAAACTCGGAATGCATTTATTTCACTGGAAGATTTTTTAAATTATATAATACATTGCGTGTGTATATAGCCACACACGCACACACATGCACTTCATGATGAATAATAAAAACTACATTTTGTTTGAGATTTTTATAAAATAACGTAACATCTTCTCTTTTATACGCTTACACTATTTGTCGTTATGGGCAGATGCCTAGGAGATGCCCAGGAGGACTGGACATAAAATCAGCTTTTTTATATCGATTAATTCGGAAAGTGTTTGTAAGCTTGTCTGTCCTTCTGTCCTCCTTTTTTTTTTCTTTTCTTATTCAATTTACATCATGTAATATTGAAGAAAATTGGGCGTAGGGATGGAGGCTAGCGAATTTTTCCACCCCTTTCCCATATAACGTGTGATGTAGGTTATTTAATGGTGGACCGTAGTCCCATATGGTGTTTCTTACAATTACTTTGCGTAATTATCGATGCCATCGAACTGATAGGAAGATGTGAGCAAGTCTGAAGATAGTTCGCATTTTCGCAAAAACGAAAAGATGGGCTACGCACAGCGGTCTAACTTCTTGCTGGTCACACTTTCGTTTTTCCCAATGCATTGTAATGCATGCATAGTCTTGATTGGTGTACGATTTTGATTTAACTTGACGGTATACATTTGTGTATATTTCCCAATATAACGGCTTTTCATATAACGTCATCCAATTCAAACCATTTTCAATAGCATTCATTCTTGGACCCAAAAAACGCGTTAGTGTACGAAATTTCATCGAAATATCACAAAAATTACGACCGATAGCCGATAGTACACGAATACAAGACAGATAAATAACGTATTCTTACACTGTAAATGAATATACCGCCATCTTTAGGCGGATAGGTGTGAACACTATTCTCATTGCATTTACACAGTAAGCGTAAGCACTTTTAAAGTTTTTAAAGAATAATTTCAGATATTTTTTGTAAAAAGATGCGTTAGTTGGCATTTAATGTTTAATTATAGAAGATTTCGTTAGCATAGTTTTGGGCATTAGGTTAAAATATGTAAAGCTAATCTGACTTTATGAATATTTTTTTTATTACAAGAAGAAAGCTTTTTTTTTTTTTTTTCTCGCAAAAAATTTTCTAAACACTTAATAATATTAATTTTGTACTTAGATAGCAATTTCAATTGCATTCAAGTCTTTACAAGCAATTGCATATATTTTCTTCTCATATATTGTATGCATATTCTGTTTACTAGTTTATTGCTCTACATTGCCAAGGGGGTTGGGGGGAGTTTCCTTTTGCAGTCTTCGTTTCCTTTTTCTTTTTCTTTTTTTTTTTATACACGTAACGTGATTTCTATTAAATGAGCTTTTTCTACGATATTAACTAAAAGGAAACATGAAGTGCATCGCTATGCATAGAGAGAGAGAGACGTACAGGTGAAATACTACTGACAGGTAATGAAGTTCAAGCGAAATAAGCCAGATTTGTTTCAAGCAAACTTTACTTTAAACAAATTACGTTTTATACGTTACGTAAGAATAAATTATAAAATCCACAACTAGTCTGTATTGATTTTTAATATTCATCTCTATCTCTATCTCTGTCTCCGTCTCTGTCTCTCGCTCTCGCTAAGTAAGGAAACTAAATTGTTTTCAAAGGCATGCAGAACGTTAAGATGCCATACTAAAGAGATCAGATTTAAAAAGGATATTACTGTTGTTGTTGTTATTACTTCTTGCATATATTAATGTTAACATTCATATAAATGATTACTAGAAAATTTTAATTCAAACTTTAATAATCAATTATATGCTTCAGTTATATTTTCCATGCTTAAGTAATTCTCTTTATTTCGAAATTATTTGAAGAATTTTAATTGCTTTTTAAGTTGTTCATAAATACATGATCACTTACGAAAGGCTATAGAAATTTCAACAATTTCTGCATACACATGCACAACATTAACTTAATAACTGCCTTCATAGCATATCGTTCAGAAGAATGTTTGCTCTTCTTTTTTTTTTTTTTTATAAGTCTTATGTGTTTTGTTTTGTTTTCATTACAATAACAATTTTGCAGGGAAAAATTACTTTATTTTATTAAATGATTTGGACAATACACTACAAGTGCTAGAAAATATTCCATTAGCAAAGAATTGATGAGAAAGCCAACAATACGTAATCGATTCAACTAAACTGCAAACGATTCATCTAAAGGATAAAATATTAATAACTTTTATCAAGTATGATGATAAGCAATTATCTAAGGAAATTGCGTACGTTATAATAGTTCTATTTGCACTTAGCCAGGAAATGGCTATGAAATCATTTTTGCACTTACGAACTGTTGAATAGCGTTTATGTCTATGAGGATCACTTTGTCACTTAACTGGCTTGGCGAGCCACTTAATTTAGAATGAAAAATATTCCCAGTACAAGAACCCGAAATCACCTTCGACGTATTTGGACTATTGAAACAAATAATTAAGGGCTTAGGTCGCAAAAACTCATCACCTTAGGAGATATCCATTTATACCCTTATTCGGCCAAAATTGGTATATAATTCGGATGTACGGACGATCGTTTTCAAGTCTTGCCAGCCAGCGCTTGATTGAGTTCAGCGGCCTTTGGCTATTGAAAGTGTACCCAGTGTAATGTGAGCTACGTGCTTGTGCTTGAACGTAAGTGTTCTACAAAAATAAGAGAAACTTGCCCATTAGTGAAATATTTTAAACGAACTACACGACTTTCTCAATCCCTTCACTCATTTGGCTTGGATTTTCCTGTGTCAAGCTTGATAAACTATTGAGATTTTTCTCACTTTATCCTCTCCTCCTCTGCGATATTTTAAGCGTAGAAATCTTTCCTGCCCTTTATAACATTCGTAGGCATAATACTTTCCGTTTTTTTCCCTTTCTCTATTTATTGTCGTTTCCCATCTTCACATACGAAAGACATCTCCTGTGAGTGGTCTTAGAAAAGAATATATATATATATATATATATATGTATATATATTGAAGTTTTCAGAACATTTGGACTGTTAGGGATGGCAAAAGAGCCTAAACGGTCGTCGAACTATAAGAGAATTTTAATATTTTAGTTTTATGATCATTGTTACGATGGTGGTTCAAAAATTATAAAAACCGGTTCGTATTACAACTTTCGAGGGCCTGTTAAAAACATCTGAATATGAAAACATTAACTACGCTTAGGTAGCTTAGGTAACTGAAGAAGTCATATCTGAAAGTGCAGTTCAGCAGTTGCAATTAGTTCGCTCTCTCATTATAGTAAGATCTTTTGAGATCTCAATTATGTTACTAGCGTTAATATCTATGCGTCTATT